CCCACCTCAGGCAAGACCCCCAGATCGGGGAGCCAGCGGGTGGCGGCAGCTCGAGGGGGCACCCCGTTGTCTCGGCTGCTGCCTGCCCTTCACAGTGCTGTGTGCCCCCAGAAAGGCAATGCTGAGCCTGTGCCTGGAGAATGCGGAGCTGAAAGAGCGGATGGGTGAAGCCACGTCGCTGCTGGAGAGTGGGGAGCAGGAGGAGGCTGGGCCGGGCACCCCCCTGGCCCCCGAGCCCCGCAGGCTGCAGCGGAAGAGCCGCAGCACCCTTGGGGACCACCCGGCTGGTGGCAGCAGCGATGGCCAGGGGGTCCCGGCAGAGAGGGGAGCTGTGCCCACCAAACGCCCAGCACTGGAGGCACAATCCCAGGACGACGTACCCAAGAGACCCTGCCCTGGCACCCCGGGTGGAGGGAACGGGAGCCATGTAAGTGCCCTGAGCACAGGGAACTGGGATGGGGATGCTGATGGAGGTAGGGAGCTCACAATTCATCTCCCCTCTGGCAGGCGGAGGGCACAGCCCCCAGCGGGGGCTGGCCAGGGCTGGGTGCAGAGCTGTGCTCCCAGGTGGCACAGGGCCAAAGGCAGTGCCAGGAGCTGCAGGACAAGCTCGCCGCCTCGGAGGCCACGGTGCGAGCACAAGCCAAGCAGCTGGAGAAGTACCATGTCCTGCTCCGTGAGTTAAAACCCTGGGCGGGATGGGGGTCTGTGCCGAGCCTGGCATGCCCTGTGCATGGCACTATATGTGGGGCAAGGATGGTGAATCCTGCCCAGAGGGGGACCCTGAGCTGATGGGGCTTCCCAGCAGGTGAACCCCACGCCCAGCAGCTCAGCAAGCAAGTGCAGGTGGACTTCCAGGACCTGGGCTATGAGACGTGTGGGCGAAGCGAGACCGAGGCTGACCGGGACGAGACCACCAGCCCTGGTAAGGAGAGCCAGCGGCTCCAGGGATCCCTGTGCCTTGCCCACCTGCCATGGAAAAGTGACACCATGCTCTGCCTTCTCTGCAGAGTGCGAGGAGCCAGATGTATTCAGCGAGCCCAGCCTGGGCGAGGAGCCGGGGTCCCCGTGCCAGCCAGGGATGCCCAGGGTGGACAAGGCTAGCCGGAAAGCCATGGCACCGGCAGATGTGGGGGCCCTGCGCCAGCACATCCAGGACCTTAAGGCGCAGCTGCTCAATGCCAACAAGGTGATCCAGAGCCTGCAGCGTCGTGCCCGCTCCGTCTCCGTCACCAGTGGCTACGCCTCGGGCGCTGAGCGGCCCCCACTGGGTCCCACGGCCCTGGCCTCCCCGGCCCACAGCCTCACTGATGAGGATGAGGGCTGGCAGTCGGATGGCCACGGCACCCTCTGCCCGCCTGCCCTACGGGCACACCGCGACCTACAGCGCCTGGTGCACCGCGTGGCCCTCCTCGAAGCGCAGCTGCCTGCAACCAAGCCTGGAGGGGTTTTGCCCAAGGAGCTGCAATCTGCCACCTGGCCAGGGTATGACCGTGGGGATCGGGGCCATATAGGTGGCTACGAGGGTCTCCAGGGGTTGCCTAAGGTGGTGGCTTCTTGTTGCGTGCTTTCCCCACAGCTGGGCTCCTGGGGCGTTTGCATGGTGGGGCAGAGCCCCAGGGGTGGACGGTGCACAGAATCCCCCATGGTACCCCATCCCTGCTGTGCTCTCTGGGGGGTTCTGGCAGCCCTGTGGACCCCCCGCTTGCCGATCCCCCCCTAGGAAGTACGACTCGCTGATCCAAGCACAGGCTCGGGAGCTCTCCCACCTGCGGCAGACGCTGCGGGAAGGCCGCGGGGTGAGCCGCAGCCTGGCCCAGCACCTGCACGATGCCCTGCGGTCCTTTGAGGAGCTCCTCCGTGGCACCGACATCGACTACTACCTGGGCCAGGGCTTTCGGGAGCAGCTGGCCCAGGGCAGGCAGCTGGCCGAGCGGCTCAGTGACAAGCTGGGCACCAGTAAGTACCTTTGGGGGGGGCACTGGGGCTGTGCATCGTGGGGCACGGCGGGCCGGGAAGGGATGCTTTGATGGATGCTGTGAAGGGCTGGGGCCATTAGGACACCTTGTGTTGTGTGGGCTACCTGCTTCGACCTGGGCTGGCTCTGTTTGGGGATGGGCAGCCTGGGGTATGGGGACACTGAGTGGCTTTTCTCTGGCTTGGTTTTTCAGGAGATCGACAAGATGGGGAGGGTAAAACCAGCCACGAACTCCTGGCACTGAGGTATCTGTTCCCAGGGAGGGCTTGGGGGACCTGCTCTGCACGGGCACTCTGGGGGCTATCACTGCTTTTGGGGTGAGGGTCCAGGGTGCCCTCAGGGTCTCTGCTCCAGGCGGACCTCCTGTGGCTGCCTCTCCTCTGTGGATGGGGAACCCGAGGCTTGGGCTGGGCACCCCATGCCTCCAGGCAGCCTTGCAGCACAGGTGGGATGTGTCATGTGCGGTGTCATGCGGGGAAGGGCTGTGGGATGGGCGTCACCCTGCCCTGCCAGCCCCGGTGATGGGCCACCTCTGCAGGCTCAGCCGGGAGCTCCAGGAGAAGGAGAAGGTGATCGAGAGCCTGGAGGCGAAGCTGCAGGAGCGCTGTGAGTCCCCGGGCAGCAGCCGCCCGCCCTCTGAGTCGTCCCGCTCTGCCACCAGCGCCTCCTTCGTGTCCGAGGGGCTGGAGCCCTGCTCTGACGGGGACGTGGCCAGCGAGTGCAGCCAGTGCCGCGAGGAGCCCGCCCGACTCGCAGGTACCGTGGAGTGCCCAGGGGCCAGAACTGCGGGCTGGGGACGTCCAGCCCCCCTCTGTAGCTCGTGGGTCCCTGCAGCAGTAGGTGCCCATCAGGCCTGGGCGGGGGCTGCCCATGGAGCACCACGCACCAACCCCAGCCTAGGGGGGGTGAGCACGCAGCACCTGGGGCTGCAGGGGAGTGTCTCGGGAAGCCTTGCTATGGTACCACAGCCCTGTAAGGCTGGGACCTGACTGACCTCGCGTGGGCTGCTCGGGGCATGCCAGGATCCCCAGTGCCCCCGGGGAGGAGGGGTCCCCACCAGTCTGAGCCAGAGCCACACTAAACATCTCTCTCTCCATCTCTCTCCTGTCTCTAGGCCTTCACTTAAACTCCTTGTCCAAATCCATTAGTGCCCCCCTGCCTGCGCTGGCCCCCAGGCTGCCCCCCTTCCTGCCTGCTGGGCCACCCCCTCCTGCGCCGCCCCCGCTCATGGGCTGCTGCGGGACCCCCGTCTGCTCCCTGGCTGAGGCCCAGCAGGAACTGCAGGTGCTCCGGAGGCAGCTGGGAGAAAGTGAGCGTGTGCCTCCGGCATGGGGTTGGTCCTGCCTGCCCTGCGTGCCGTGCCGTGCTGTGCTGTGCTGTGCCGCATGGCCCCTCGCCCTCTCTGACCTGCCTGTCCTTTCCTGGCCCTTCTCCTGCTACCCAGGGCCACTGCTTCGAGGTTGGGCCCCATGACTCTGGCTGGGGGATGATGGGGACATGTGGCTCATGTAGAGAGGACCTGGTGGGTGGGATGAACACAGCCTGAAGCAGCACTAGCCCTTGGTGTGGGCACTTGCACATCCTAGGGCCCCTGGGAAAGGGCTGGTTTGGTTAATTGTTGTGTAGGAGTGGGGCTGAGACCCTCCAACTCGTGTCGTGTAATCAGTAAGCCCTGGGAGAGCCTCTTCTGCTCTTCAGGGGGAACGGGTTTGACCAGGACAGAAGGTCAATGATGGGGGATCACCATGGGGGTATGTGGGGCTGCACTGTTGGGCAGACTGAGAAGGGAGCAAAAAGCACATAGTGGGAGTGTGTTACCCCCAGTCTTCCTCCCTGCTCATTGCCCTCCTCCTCCTCACTGCTTTGCCTTGTGCGTGCAGGTGTGACACTCCCCATGGCACCAGCAAAGCCCACAGCCCCACTGGGCCCCTTTGGAGAGGGCAGCAAAGCCCCAGCATCGCTCTGCCGACACGGCACACTGCAGAGCCTGGCTGAGATCCCCGGGGCCACCAAGACCCGTGCCCTCTGGGACATACCCCCTCCCGGCCAGCCGCTTTACGGGGCCCTGCCATTGGGGTATCCCTCCAGCCAGAAGCTAACAGGTAACGTCCATGCTGGAGAGCATGGGGGCATCCCGGCTGGGTGTGGGGGAACAGGGAGGAGACCTGTCACCAGAATGGCTGCGGGACATGGCTCTGGTATGGGGCAGGATAGTGGGGACGGCATGGGGCAGGCGCTACAGCCATCCCTGCCCTGAGCCTTCTCCTCGGCTGTGGCAGGGGCAGACCTGCTGGAGGAGCACTTGGTGGAGATCCGCAGCTTGCGCCAGCGCCTCGAGGAGTCCATCTGCACCAACGACCGGCTCCGGGAGCAGCTTGAACACCGCCTGGCCTCCACCAGCAAGGCCAGCGGTATGGTGCTGCACTGGGGCCAGGGCTGCCAGGGAGCCCTGTGCTCTGAGGGGGGCCAACCTTTGCACACCCCATTGCACGGGGAGGGCACTCACCCTGTGCACGGCGGGGTGTCGGGAGAGAGACCCAGCACCAGTGCCCCCTTTGCAGGATTGCCCAGCAATGTCTATGCCCAGGGGCCGGAGCCAGGGCTGCAGCTGAGTGGGGAGAACCAGGCTCTGCGCGAGGACAACAGGACCCTGCGGCTCCAGCGTGACCACCTCTCCCAAGGTAGGGCCAAGCTACCAGCGTCCCAGGACTGAGTCCCCGAGGGCACTGGCTGAGTGGGGTGGCAGTGACACCTCCATGGTCTCCATCCCTAGAGCTGGCGCGGGTGCAGGAGGCGCTCCTGGCTGCCTGCTCCCGGGCACGGGAGGCTGAAGCAGAGCTGGGCCAGAGGCTGGGGGAGCAGCGGAGGCTGGCAGAGGAGCTTGCCGAGCGCCAAGAGAGCGTCCAGCAGCTCCGAGACGAGCGGCGCTCTCTGCAGGAAGACAACAACAGGTAAGGCTTGGGGCATTGTGGCCTTGGGGCCGGCAGGGCTGGGTGGCATGGCTGGCCCTGGACTCATGTGTCACCCCTCTGCAGGCTGCAGCACATGGTGACGCTCCTGCAGCAGCAGTGTGAGGAGCAACGCCTGCTCCTGCAGACCCTGCGTGCAGAGCTGCATGTCTATGAGAGCCTCCCTGGCCCCTCCGCCGAGACCCGTGCAGGTATGGGACCTGCACCCAGACCCCCCCCGAGCCCCAGCGCTTCTGCCCAGTTCCTGGTCTTGGGGTGCCTGGCCCCTTTGCAACACTTGGGCGGTCCCAAACACCTCTCCTGTCGTGGCAGCAGGAGGGACACGGTGGCCTTGTAGGCAGGCAGCAAGGGAGGGAAGGCTCCTCAGCTGCCCCAGGCATGGAGCCATGGCCGTCCACAGGGGCTCAGACGCTTCTTGTTCCAGGCTGCTTCCCATCTCCTCCAGTGCGGGATGTTGGCACGAGCTCAGCAGCTCCCCTCTTCTCCCTGCAGCCCTCTGACACGTCGGTGGCCCGGCGGATGGACGGTGGGTATCAGAGCCTGCCCACACGTGTGCCTCAGGGCTGCTGTGACCTGACAAACTCATGGCACCACCCTTGCTGAGCAGGGACGGAGAGCCCAGGGCAGAGCCAAGCCCTGGGATGGGATGGGGAGGGCCGCAGGGGGAGCAGGCAGTGGTCCTTACCCTGCCCTGCTTGTCCCAAAGAGCCACGTGGGGCAGACCCACTGGTGAGGAAGAGCGAGGGACCGACAGGGGCTCACGTTGTCGGCCACCTGGACACCTACCGGGCCCTGGAGCAGCACATCCTGGAGGGGAAGGCGCTGGCCCGCGAGCTGATGTGTCTCATGCACCCGGCGCTCGGGCTGCCCAACTGCCCGCTCCCGGGAAAGGAGGTAAAGTGTGAGCAGGACGGGGCTGGTGGCAGCTGGGGGATGGACCCCGCTCTGTGGACTATGCATAAAGCGGCTCCTGAGCCCAATATCAGCCCCGAGCCTTGCAGGGCTGGCAAGCGGCAGGTAGTGTCCAGCCTGGGGGCTGTTGCCGGCACTGCTCTGCAGTGTTGGGCTGGGCGCAGCGAGTCCCCAGGTGCAGTGGGATGCAGGTGCCCCAGCAGCACCCGCTCC